TATGCAGCGGGTGGGCAACTGAACTTATTCGCTGTTTTGATTACCCCGCAATGTGTCGTAGCTTTTTGTTAGTATCAGCTACTTCCAACAATAGTATGCAGTCAGTAAATCCACTTACTTTTGCTTCTGTACTGCTTTGGTATTTTAATTTTAAAAAAATTGCTAGAACAATACTACTTCTTTACTAATTAGTTTTAGATTTGGTTGCAAATAAAATCTCATTTTACTAGGTCATATTGCAATTTGAACTGTTAAGAAATGATAAACACTTTGTCACGCGTATACCACTGTTATTGCTGAAGAAGAGAATGATGATTTATTGGCAATTTAATAATTCAAAGATGACTTTGATTTTTTACGTTGTAGCAGCTAATGATTAGAATGCTGAATATTACCATTAAAGCTGAAAGAATTAGTGTATGTTCCGTACAAGAAAAAATTTTTTAACTGCTTTTTCTCTGCAATTTATTGGTTTAAAAACATTGCATTGAATAGCTTCTTGTGACTTTTAGCATTTGAGGCCACCTGGGTCTTATGAGTGCCTCAACATTACAGCTATCAGTAGTTTGAGCAATAACTGTAGCCATTTTCAAGAAAATTTGTTGAAGAAATTTAGCAAGTTTGCAGTAGTTTTTTAATACATAATCTATAACTTCTAGCAAAATATGGTATTTGAGTTTTCTGATATAAGCTTTATAAAGATTAGTTCTTGTTTTAAACAACTTTTTGTGTTAGTCATGTTTCTTGTTAAACAGTCGTTTATTTATTTTAGTGCAAATTTAATCAGTTCTAAACAAGTGGTTGTTTGTTCTGGTTCAGAAGATTAAAACTGTGAATTAAAGTGAAATTTGCACAGAAAACCTATAGTGCAAAATCAGTTGTTTTTTTCTATGCTAGTAAGTAATCAACTCTTATTTGATGAGTAGTCACAGTCAATATTAAACGTCATTCATTTGCCTGCCCTAATCAAAAAGGATAAAAGATGGTGGTGAAAAAAAAAACTCAGCAGTCAAAATTAAGTTTTAGAGCAGTAATAGAGAAAAAAAAAAGATTGTGGCTTTGTAAGGGTGTGAAAAAAGAAATATATTGTGTAAACAAGTCATTTGATACAACTTGGTAATGTTCGCCACATAGAAGGCCACATGAAATTTCGATTTGTGTGGCTGAGTACGGAGAGGGATTTGCTCAATTATTTGGCAAATGACTGTTGTATACACCAAGTTGATTAAACAAGTACTTTCAGCAGACGTCCTGACGACGCTCATAGTACATATTCTCCAAATCGTGTAAAGCACCAAAAACAGTGTGATCTATGCAGGTAGTATAAAAAATGGTGAAAAAACTTTTGCTCTAGTCAATCTTGCATAAATAAATGTAAAGAAATCTACAGGTAACCTTGACAAAACATTCATAAGAAATAAATGCAAACTTTTAGTATAACTATTTGTTAAGCAGATCAGCTCTGTACGACATTCGCAAGTATTGATTTGCTGCTTTTTGAATTTCACTGTTAAGACAATACCAATATGAACTTTAGAACGAACAGTGGGCACATGAATGTAGCACTCGATGATGCCTGTTCTTTGCTCCCGTTTGACTAACTACGATCATTTTGTCTGCTGCTTAATGCATTAATATCTGTTAATAAAGTGGTTAAATTGAAAAGTGATAAGAAATTTTGCTGCAGCAAAATTAATTTGGATATGTGAGCACCAAAAACAAAAGACAGATAAGGTAGCGTGCCTGTTTCGCTTAAGCTATTTACTAATATTATGTTTCTGTTAGTATGATTATAGTGAAGCTTTAGCTATACTGTGGTATAAAGAAATAAAAAAAATGAATCAAAAGAAATTTATGTAATGTTATATTTGACGCATATAGTGTAAAAGACTTGTACTTAAAACAGTTTTTTTT